TATTACTTTCCTTTTTGGACACAGGGTCTCACACCATCACCCAGGCTGCAGTGCAGTGGCACAATCAGGGCTTACTGCAGCCTCAACCTCCTGAGCTCAAGCAATCCTCTCACTACCTTAGGCTCCACAGTACCTGGGACTACAGGTACATGCCACCACACCCAGCTAATTTTAAAATTTTTTGTAGAGACTGAATCTTCCTATGTGTTCAGGCTGGTCTTGAATTGGGCTCAAGCAATCATTCTGCCTTGGCTTCACAAAGTGTTGGGATTACAGGTGTGAGCCACCACATTTTTTTTTTTTTTTTTTTGAGGCAGAGGCTCACTCTTGTTGCCCAGGCTGGAGAGCAATGGTGAGATCTCAGCTCACTGCAACCTCCGCCTCCCGGGTTCAAGCGATTCTCCTGTCTTAGCCTCCCAAGTAACTGGGAATATAGGTGCCCGGCACCATGCCTGGCTAAGTTTTGTATTTTTTAGTAGAGATAGGGTTTCAGCATGTTCACCAGGCTGGTCTCGAACTCCTGACCTCAGGTGATCTGCCCTCCTTGGCCTCCCAAGTGTTGGGATTATAAGAGTGAGCCACTGTGCCAAGCCTCAGCCAGTGCACACTTTTAATCACTTAGCAACACTGCCTCGTTGTCTCCAAAAAGTTGGTAATAATATCTTATGTGCCTTCCTAACCTGAAAGGCAGTATATTTGCTGTTTTAAATTATAAGAAAATTCTAACTTAAACTACCAGTTGTTATTCCAAAGCTCCCCAAAAACCTCAATGGTCAGCCTTCAACAACTAAGCCACAACAAAACCAAAGGCATCTGAGTAATCCTCCAAATAACTGTTCAAATGTACAATGTCATTAAGAACATCTTTCATTCTATCCAAATAATTACTGTCAGAAGCAAAGGCAGGGCAACAAAATTTAACTTTTCAGGCAACACTACTTTAGACAAGCAAAATATCACCTTCATTATGTAATTCCTATCCCCAAACTGTTACTATTCACAAATCATGTATTCCAAATATTTACATATTAAATAAATAATTGCACTGCTATTATATGCTGAAGCACTGACATCCACTTTAACAAGGACAACAAAAGGATATTAAAACAAGCTTCCAGTTATATTGTATTTATTTTTTTGTTTGTTTGTTTTGAGACAGGGTCTCACTCTGTTGCCCTGGCTGGAGTGCAGGGCGCAATTTCAGGTCGCTGCAACCTCCGCTTCCTGGGTTCAGGAGATTCTCCTGCCTCAGCCTCCTGAGTAGCTAGAATTACGGGTGCGTCCTGCCATGCCCAGCTAATTTTTGTATTTTCAGTAGAGACAGGGTTTCACCATGTTGGCCAGGTTGGTCTCAAACTCCTGAGACCCACCCACCTCAGTCTCCCAAAGTGCTGGGATTACAGGCATGAGCCACCACACCCGGCTCTGTATTTATTTCTAATTCTACATTTAAAAAATGTTAACTTATATCATTATAATCAACCATTTAATAGCCAAGGACTCTAGAAAACACTTGTTGATATGAATCCCTCGGCAACTCTCTCATTACCTGAGTTGTATTTAGTGCTGTGTTCACATTTTTAATAGCTTCTTCAAAATTCTCTTCATCTTCTGGAGCCCCATTTTCATTCTTTAGAATTCCTATTATAATGTGAAATTGTCAGCAAACAACAGCCCTTTTCCTTTCACTCTGCCATTATAAAAAATAATTCCCCCATTATAAAAAATAACCCCATTATAAAATATAAAAAATAAAAATATAAATATAAAAAATTCCCCCATTACAAAAAATAACCTTGTCAGACTCTGCAAAATATTAAATCTTAGTAAGAAATAGGGCTTATCAATAGTCCTTAAAACTATACAAGGTGTGGCTCCTTAACTTCTCCAGAGGCAAAGTAAAATGAAAGTTCATGATAGTATTACCTGACAAAGGTGTTAACAGAAATCCAATAAACACTTGCCTCTAGCAATTTGCTTTTCCAGCTTTATACCATATTTAATTATATCCCATAATATTACCTTGTCTAATCAAATCTCTGAAGTCCTCTTTTTCTTTATACGTTTTAGGTATTCGTCCATTTGTCTAAATTGGTTAAAAAAATTTTAAATCTAGTTATTAAAAACTCAAAATACAAAAATTGAAAGTCTGAAGTGTCCCCCATTCTCTACATAAGATTTCATCAACAAATATGAAATAATTTCTCTGTGAAATCACAGGCTCACTTGACAGAAAACAGACACTGTGCCCATTTATCTACATCAACCCCCCCCAACAGTTTTATAACAACATTTATCAAATTTCATTTTGTTAATTAAAATTATCAGGATCAAAAGAGGAACTGTTAGATTTAAATTTAAAAGCAGTCATTTGCCCTACCATACAACCCCATAAGGAAAAAAAATTAATCTCCCATTCCCCACCAAGTAAGGACATACTTCACTATACCACTGTGCTAAATATTTCGCTATGATCACAATCCATGGAGTATGGCTATGGTCCTAAAAATGAAAGACAATCAAAGAAAGTATCAGTATTATTAATTCTTCACTGTACCATCTAGTTTTCAACAAATTCAACATTTATGATCTCCTAATATATGCATAGTAATGAATAGAGGAAAATGAACTGAGTTAATAAAAACTACTTTACACATTTTTTAGAGGTAGATACCTAGTATGTCATATATATACTATGATTGTCCCCATTATGCCAGCAATACAGTCTCAGAGACTGCCACCCAAAAACACAGCTCAAATCTCGATTTCAGACACCAATCCTAAAGTAAGAAACGAGGATCTTCTGTTTTCTGATGAACCAAATAAATAACTGCATGTTAATTAATAAGGAAGTGGGAAAAAATACATATACTCTTTAAATTATATTGTCTGTTATGTCATTATTTCTATTTGTTTAGAAAAAGGCCATAAAGAGGGCTTCTTGGAATTTTTTTTTGGTTTCTGTTTTTTGTTTTAAAACTTTTTATGTTTGATTTTTGTGGGTACTTAGTAGTGTATGTATTTATGGGGTACGTGCTTTGATACAGGCATGCAATATGAAATAAACACATCATGAAGAATGAGGTATCTGTATAGCATTTATCCTGTCAAGCATTTACCCTTTATGTTAGAAACAATCCAATTAAACTATTTTTTAGTTATTTTAAAATGTATAACTAAGTTATTATTAACTATAGTCACCTTGTTGTGCTTTCAAGTAGTAAATCTTATTCTTTCTTTCTAATTTTTTTTTGGTACTCAATAACCACTCCCATCCCATCTCCCCATCTGGAATATGTTAACGTCCAATATCTTGACCAGGGTAGTGATTACACAGATGTTCTGTATATGTACTTTTCTTCAATAAAAACATTTTTTAATTTTGAAGAAAAATTAATATGTTGAAAACAAGGTCAAATGTTGTTATTGAGTAGTCTGGATGACAAGAATATGGAGGTTTATAGGATTTTCTCACTTTGGTGTAATTCAAAAAACTAGGTTTAAAAAAAAATGTTTTAAATCGATCTACAAATGTAAGGTCACAGACACTACCAACCTTTTTTTCCATATGATCCAAATCATAGGACTGAAAATGTTCTCTCAGTTCAGGAAATGGCTTATCTAGTCGTAGATCCTCTAACGCATTATCTGGATGAGATTCTATTACTGTGAAACAAAGAATTCAAAAGGATAAATTTAGTACTTTAAACAAAAAGAGAGAGTTGGGGTCTTGCTGTATCACACAGGCTGAAGTGCAGTGGCACAATCATAGCTCACTGCTGGTTCAAACTCCTGGGCTGACAGGATCCTCCCACCTCAGCCTCCTGAGTAGGTGGGACTACAGAGTTGTGTCACTGTGCCCAGCTAATTTTTAAATGTTTTTGTAGAGATGGGGGTCTCACTATGTCACCCAGGCTAGTCTCAAACTCCTGGATTCAAGGGCTCTTCCTGCCTCAGCCTCCCAAAGTCCTTGTATTACAGGTGTGAGCCACCGTGCCCAGCTTAAAAAATGAACTTAATTATTTAGCAATACTGATGACAATATACTACATTATAGAAACTTAGGAAATCTTTAATTTTTAAATGGGCACAGGGCCCACAGGTTTCACTGTTTTATTAAGGTACAATTTACATGTAGTAAAATGCACAAATCTTAAGTCAACTATAAAGTTTTAGTAAAAATAAAACCAAGATTCCTTTTGAACAGAATCTGTTGTAATTGAAAAAGCTCAAAATTGACAAAATGTATGTACAGAGAGTAACTAATGACCTATCTTTCCTCCTCTTGTGGTCTTCAATAGACAGCATCACCATCTACCTAGACTTCTTCCCCAGAAACCTGATGGTCACCCTTCACTTCTTGCTTCCTTGGCTCCAACATCAGTGACTCCCCACTTCCTCATCTCACTCTGTACACTGCTCTTCACATGGGAGAGTACAGGAGAGTGTACAATTTCAGTAAGTGTTTAGAGGTAGGCACAGTTCTGTCACTTGCTAACTATGTGACCTTAGACAAACAATTTAATCTCTCATTGCCTCAGCATCATCTATAGAAGATATTAAAGTATCTACAGGTTGTATATCTCTCTTATCCAAAATGCTTGGGACCATAAGTGTTTTGGATTTTGTTCAGATTTTGGTATATTTGCAAATACATACTAGATGAGCATCTCTAATCCAAAAATCTGAAGTCAGAAATGTTCCAATGAGCATTTCCTTTGAATGTCATGTCAGTGCTCAGAAAGTCTTACATTTTGGAGTATTTCTGATTTTGGATTTTTGGATAAAGGATGCTCAATCTGTACCTTATAAAGGTTTTGGAAAGAGTAAACGAAATAATTATCATAAAGGCAGGCACACAGCTAACAATGTTGAACCTTCATTATTATCTACCCCTTCTTCTTCTCTTCCCTAAATTAGGAAAAAGAACACTTTCTTTCTTAGGCCACTGGAAATTTCTAACAGCAATCCCTGCCTCCAATCTTTGCACCTTTAAATCCATTTGCTTTCTACTCAACTTCAAAGTGACCCATTAAAAATAAAATTTTTATCCTGGCACTCTCCCACTTTTAACTCTTTTGTTCCCTCCCATCAGTTGACACCACTTTCAACTCTTAAATGGTTCACCACCAGCAGCCAGAGCTTATCCTGACAAGCACTCCCTAACCGCCAACACAGATATTACTCCTCAGTGATGCTACCAATACCAATAGCTATCATCACATTAGCACAGTAGCTGGGTCATAGTAAAAATGCTTTCTTGAGTAAATAAAGAGCATTGTATGAAAACTGGATGAGAATTTCATAATGATCTAATATTAAAATTTTATAAGTAAAGGGCTTATATCTGTTTATAAATGACTTTGGTATCCTACAACAGTTTCCTTGGGAACAGTAGTTAGGTAAATGTCTTTGTTGTGTGAAACTGCACCTGAATTGAGAAAACCTAATGGCTGCATGAGAATGAAATAAAAGATTAGAGGGGCCAGGGGCAGTGGCTCACACTTATAATCCCAGCACTTTGGGAGGCCAAGGCAGGTAGATCACCTGAGGTCAGGAGTTC